AGCGTTCCAGCCCGCGTCCCAATAGAAGAAGTCGTCCCAATAGAGTCGAAACAATAGTGCCTCGTCCACAGATGTTGCCACTACCCGTTCAGACTGGCGAATATCAGATCATAAATGTTTGTGAGCCAACAAGGAGGCCCTCCCACCAGACGCTCACAGGCGTGAGGACGGTAAAGGCCTATTTACAGTGCAAACATAAACATAAGAATGGCTTTGACATAAAAGTTAGGACTACGTCCATAAGCGGACTCATTCACAATGCGTTCGCATAAGCATAACACGTAAGACGTTAACTTAAAAGCTTGCAAGCTTCTATGCTTATGCTTAAGTAAGGCATAAGAAATGAACTAATCACAGAACGGTAACTCAGAATCGAGAATCGAATTTGGAGCGAAATCGATAGAACTAACGCAATATGTGCCATAGACATACTCGATACCTTGAAATCGATTCTCACATTCAACCAATAGTAAACCAGAATGTTTCACAGCCAATAGAAACTATTTATTTTGCTTATGTTTATGTTAGACATTGTGAATACTTCAGTCCATCACTTATGTTAATGTTTATGTCTATGCGCTATGCTTATGTTTACGTTTGCATTGTGAATGGGCCTTAATGCCTACTCGTATTGGCTGGGTGTATTTGAAGTGGATAACGGAATAGGTCGCTTAAGCGAGTTGCAAATTTCGATTCAGCTCTCTAGGAGTCCGTCCCTCCCCCTCTGCGCCGTGGCCTCCGTCTGAGAATTGTGCCAGTACCTACTATTTATAACTACATTAGAACGCCGATAATCAGAATAATGGGAATCGAGATGTGTCAAGCTAGCACAATCAAACCAGTAGGAGAATTTAGTATTAATTTACAAATTTAGTTCTCCAAAAATTACATTTTCTGTTACAGTTACATTACTACACGTTATTGATTAAAATGTGTCGTCGCGGCTTGAAGGTTATGCTAAGTCAGTCATTGGATCACCTATAAAATAAAATAGGAAGGGCATAATCAAATAAAACCTGTTTGAAATTATTCATTTATTACTTCAAAATTATATTTATTACTATTGTCGTTTATACAATAACTATTGTGCTGGCATGACAGTCATTAGTGTACGAAAATTAAAAAGTAAAACTTCTTCAAAATTGATATTCCCCAATTCATCTGACCGAAATCAAGAATCTACGTTTTTGAAAATAATATTTTAATATTTGGAGTACCACACATAATCTATTAACACCATTTTCAAACATTACTCAAACCTGGCTCCAAATGTTTGCATTGTTTACAAATAGAGGAAAGAATATCACAGATTTTATTTCGTTGAATTAAAAAAAAAAAATCAGAAGTTAAAAACCGTTTGTCGTTTTCGTGCAACAACGTATTTCAATGATACAGATTTCTTTACTGACATTGTGTTAAAAGGCAGATAAATAGCAGAGATCCCATACAATTTTTATTGCAATATCAATAGTTTTCGCGAAATTTTTGCTTGAAGTAATGGCAATTAAAGGAAATATTTTCTCAATAACAGCCCGGAAGATTTTTTTAAAAGTTTGTTTTGAACAGATCAGGTCTATGAGATCACAAAGGTATCAAACTGCAGTATAAATTTTAACTCCAAAAGTTGACTCAAAATGGGCTTTAAACATTAATTTACGCAAAGTGTGCTTCATTGGCACCCGTTTTCAATTGTTTACAGTTAAGTACGTAGTAGAAGATTATAGGCTAGTTGATATCGAGTCCGGGAAGGGGTCCGATGGTGGACACTTTTGTCTTGAACCACTAAAATTATCGCGTGTGTAGACTAATATCTCTGAGAGACGAGATAAAAATGTTAAATTGATACACTTTAAAGATCGGTATGGTACCAAACTCCATTATAAATTTGAACTTGGAGATTTGACTAAAATGAGTTTAATCAAATCGCAAATTAACGCGAAAAGTGCTTTTTTCGTACCCGTTTTTAATTCTTTATAATTGAGTACACTTTTTTATTTGGTACAAAATTAGTACATAATTAATAAAATATTATAGGCTAGTTGATTTAAAATATTTGAGCAGTGGGGTGTCCACTTGTTAAGCTAGCACCCGCACTTTTGGATGTGGTTTTTACTTTCCCGTATACATATACGGAATAATATACGTAGTATAGGGAAAGTTAAGTAATGTTGCGGAATATCGATTTCGAGTTTTCAACGGAAATACACGTTTTAGTGTCCCCAGATACCGAAAAAGTGGGTTTTTTCAAAACGCCCATCCATGTGGTGACTGTGAACACTAGCGCTAAAACCGTCCCTAGGATGTTTTCCAAATTGAAGAAACCCCTGTCCATCAGAGTGGAGAAGAAACTTTGAACATGAAGCCTTCCGGACGTTTTCAAAATTTTCTCAAACACTGTTCCAATTTTTTTTCTTTAAATTTCTTGTAAGAATAGACTAACACACTTATAAACGTTGCGTACGTCCGATTTTTACGGTTAACTCTGAACTTTCGAAAATTTCATAAGTATGAATTTTTTTCAGGGCCTTCCTACAACTACAAAATCAAAGATAGAGATTTTTTCTTGAAATTAAATTTCTCCATCCTTAGTCCTTTCATTAAATTAAAATAGACATTTTTTTTGAAAATTTTTGTTGTGTTCGCGCAATATTGCGTGCAATTAAAAAAAATACAAAAAGATTATTCTTTTTTCAAATTGAAGCCGTTCTCAAAACGGCTTCAATTTGTTTCTTTAAACTTTTGGTAGGGATAGTGCTAAATGCACTCTATAAAATGATGCCACATTGTTGTATTCTTTTGTTTTTTCAAAAATATATTTTTTTACTTCTCTTAGTTAATATTTACATTAGCGCAAATTGTGCACATTATTATATTTTTGAGTGCATGCGTTTTCAATAATGTCATATTAATCTTCTCGAAAACTCAACAATTGTTTGTGAAAAACACTCAAATGCAATTTTCTCAAAAACTGCTCCAATTTTTTTCTTCAAACTTTTCGAAGGGATAGTGCTAGTTGCACTCTTTATTGTGGCGTAAAGTTAATTTCGGTTTTCTTTTTTCCCCAAAAATCACACTATTATATGTTTTTGAAAGATCTCTCTCGCCTTTAATTTTCACATTTCCAGCGATTTGTAAACATTATTGCATTTCTGACTGGAAGTAATTGAAATTACTTGATATGAAAATTTTCGGTGACTGAATAGTTTTCTGTGAAAAGAGGTTCAAATTTCGCATTTCAGTAGCGCATAAACGCCATTTTCTTAAAAACGGCTCCCAATTTTCGAAAGAAAATTGCCATTTAGGGCGATGCTCCACTATTCTTTAATACTCTTAAAGTAATAATTCGATTCTACTATTATAAAACCGAAAAATTAAGAAATTAAAAAAAAAAACGTACTATGGGCGGCGATAGATGGCAGGTGGTAAGAGGATGAGGAAGTAAGAATAGGTAGCGCAGACCAAAGAAAATTGAAAACTAATACGAGAAAGTTTGTGAAATTCTGTTGCACCATTAGCACAGTTAAGTAAAACAGTTGCTGAGCTCTAAAGGGAAGAGTGGCCAGAAAGCGGCGTCTATCTTAAAGGCTAAAGGAGAAAACATTGGACTGCCTGCCTATATGCGCATTTCATCTGAAAATGTAACAGAACTCGTATACGTAATAAAACGCTCATTTCAAATTGTTCATAAAATAGAAATTTTTTACGGTCAAAGAGAGGGATAAAAACTACATTTACTGAGCAGAAACAAAACGAGGGATAATCTCAGCAGTTGCTCTATTGAGATCGAGGTCCTACACCTAGTATTTAAAATGATTTTTAAAGAATAATTATACCAATTTTAATAAGATACATTAAAAAAGTATAAAATAGCATAAATCAAAATTTGCATAGTATTTATTAAATGACAGAATTTTTCTTAACATCCAAAACGATTGAACGAACGAACGATCAAACGAACCAGCTTATGCAGCCACCAACCAAACATTTGAATCTGATTGTTGCAAATGCGTTTTGAAATAACATTCACGAACAATTTTGCTAATGCTTGCCTTTCTGCATCTTTAGGAAACTTAAAGAAGAATATATTTGGCGAATTTCTTTGATTATTGCTATAACATGAGAGACACTTCTGTATGTTAATGGCATTTTTAATCAAGCGTCAATGAATGCAGGACGCAAATGTGATCACAATTTTAGTGGTCAGTGAGCTAAGAGTAGATAATAAATAATATTCAATAGATTAAACCCACTGCATGAAAAGTGTCTCGCTACCATCACATACCGTCAAGCAAACCACGTGTAAACAGAATGCAAATACGTAAGCCGCACCTCTACGAATTGGTGCTGCCTCTTGCTTGCCACTGGGAGCTCTGCGATCGCACCGGTTGAAACAATCATAGGGAGCTTCCTCGCTGTTATTCAAAACTGTGCCTACTTTCTCCAGGGGATTTTGCTTTTCCCTCGATGCAGACTATGGTAGGCGGATTGCACGCGTTCATTCTCCGTGGCTATAGTTTGTTTATAGGACCGCCATCCGTGTTGGATGTAATCCCACTGTATGTGTAAATAAATTCTAATGAACGTCGTAGTAAGTAATGTTTATATTGTGGGGGGGCGTCCATCACACTAATTTTAACTGCAGAAAGAAGAAACAAAGTAAAGGAACTTCACTTTGGGGAACTGGTAGGATTGTTGTAATCTAAAACCTTTATTTTTTTGCAAACTATTAGTACATATTTATTTCATAAGACATTAAAAATTATAACGAATTATTAACAACAATTAGTTTTCAATGTAGTCTTCAACATACCCAAATGTTATATTTTTCTGTATTCTCGCTTTCTGTTCACTATCTTTCAAACATTGTTGAATAAAGATGAGATGGGTAACAGTTGTAATTTTCTAATTGTTTTGTCTCTAGAGTTTTTACTTTACAGTATTCAGCCTTAGCACATTTCATTATATCTGAGAATGTCCAGTTAAACTGTTTGTTTAATCACGTGGACTAGGTGTTTGTTTAAAAAACAAACGTTCATGTTTGATTTAAGTTATTCATAAAGGTTGTTGATTAGATTGATCATATAGGACTGGAAAAGAAACATTTTCTGGTAGCTGGAGCCAGTTCTCTGGAGACCAGGTTCCTCTAGCCAAATCAGCAACGTGGAACGTGTACACATGGCGTGGTTGGGTTGATCGATTTGGCGCACTCTGATGCACTACTTGGCCGTGGATAAGTATACATGTTCCTGATAACAAAAGAAATCATTGTTTTAAATTTCCATTATGGTGTTACTTTATTTAATACACCAGATCGATGTGAGCATAAATGAATCGAATACTGAAATGCGTGGGATGTGGCATGGCCTAAAAATTCATTGAAAACCACATATAAAATTACTTAAAAATAAGAAGAAAATGACCTTTAAAATGACTTCAAAATAAGGGCAAAATAATCTAATTTGTTTAAAAATACTCAATTTTTTGAATAGGTATGATTATTAATTAATGAATTTAACAACTGTAAGTAAAAATTACTTATATAAAAATTTATTTAATATAAATCTTAATTTTAGGAGGAAATATAATCCTTAGCTCCGATCTTCCAGCCGTCAGTTTTGATAGGTCGTGGAAGTTACCGAAGATCCGTGACAGTTTGAGAGTTCGAAAAACTGAGCCCACTGCAGCAGTGAATTTCGTCATGAACTGATGATACAATAAAAGCTTAGTTTTAGAGTGTCATTGTAAATTCATGAAACATACACTAGCAAAAAAATACGAAAAGGAAACAAAATACGTAAAAATTTGAAAATGACGCAAAGCTCCATAAAAAAGACCTAAAAGTTGAAAAGTGACAAAAAATAGCCAAACTTATCCCAATAACTAAACATTTCTATGACCTGTATGTCGTGATAAACATTAATTTATGTTAGCTACGTCAAGAATGCACCAATGTAAAGATGACATGTCATCAAAATCCGAGCCCTGGAAATAAGTGGCAAATTAGCATTGTAACAATTAACTAGACAATACATTGCAATAGTTTTTTTTTCAATAAATAAATAGTCTTTACTGGTGGTGAGACTCAGGTCATTGGGTCTGCTCTAACGCCTGGCCACTTTCAAGAGTTTAATGCAAGTGATCATAATACATATCTAGTGGTACTAAAACAGCACGTACTTTCTAGCCCATATTTTTACGCAAAATACGCGAAAAGTGCAACTTAACAGCCTACCTTAATGTTTCCAGTTAGATGAAAAAAATTAAGTGAAGAGAAGAAATGAGTTATTTCCAATAAATGATTTTTAATCGAGTATACATGTAATTCTCTATGGATTTGTTAGGTGGGTCAATAGAAGTTAATGTATTGGTTGGGCACGCATAGCCCATGAAAGGTTCTCTTAATATTCAAATCTTAACAAAAACAGTTGTTAGGAAATAAAAAGGTTGCCAAGAAATATGACAATACTATGTATTTGTTTCGATCTTGAGAATCGAAGAGACTTTTCCCATCTACCTTCCTATTTCTCGCGCCCTTTATCTCCCCCTCTTTCTCTGTCTCTCCCTGTCCCTGTTTCTCGGCCTCTCTCCCTCTCTTTCTTTTCCTTTCTTTTTCACCTCAGCCTCCCTTCTTTCTTCGATTGTTCAACCAGACTAGTTCATTATTCTATGGTTCAACTACTTCCTTAAAAATGTACAAATTAAAGCAATATTCCAAGCGATTCCACGTTCCGAAAAACAACTAAAAGGCAATTCGCATGTTGCATGAGGAAATTTTCTAGTTATATTTCTGCCTGACTGTAGGCTATTTTCGGAACGCGAAGTTGCAGCAGCGAGAGAAACGTCTTCCACTGCGCGATGAGTTTATTCTTTTTATAGGCGAAACTCATAAGCGGGAGAAATGGATCTGCAGTGACTCTTGCTATAATGTGCGTTGCCACATCACCGATTCGGAATCTAGATAACATGACATAATCAACAAAACTTGTGTCGTTTTTAAGAACAAATGGTTTAAAGGAAATCAAAATTGCCTATGTTTGACACAAAATTTCACAAAGACAAAATATATTTTCGAAAAATTGAACATGACATTATTTAAATATATTTTCAATGAAGATATGTCAGAAAGCCAAAAATGTTTATATCATAATTGTAGGTGTAGGACGTCGCTAGAATTTTTGCAATTAAAAAAAACAACAGAATTTCAACGAACGTAAGACCTGCAACATTCTCGTATGCACCAGTCCTCTACGATATCTGAGATCAAAATTTAATCAAAATTGTTGGTACGGCATTAAATGTGTTTTTTTTAACTTTGGAAGGGATGGTATTAAATACACTCTATCAGATGACATAAACGTCATATTTATCATTTCTTTTGTTTTCCAAAAATCACAAAAATGTAATTTTTGACATCTCACAAATATTTTATATTTACATCAGCGGCAATTTCTTTACTTTAATGCATTCATGAGTACATGCGCTTTAAATAATGTATAAAATTTCACGAAAACTCAACGGTTTTCCGTGAAAATGAGCTCAAAATTTCACTTTTTTAGAAACGCTCAAATGCTATTTTCTCAAAAACGGCTCCAATTTTTTTCTTATCGACATAGAATGAATTTTGCTGTGTTCGTTTTTTCAAAAATTAAACAATGTATTTTATTTGAAAGATCTCTCACGCCTTTAAAATGCACATTTCCAGCAATTTGTAAACACTATTGTATTTGTGGCTGGAAGTGCTTGAAATCGTCATATGATTTTTTTTCGAAAACTCAATAGTTTTCTCGGAAAAGAGTTTCAAATATCGAATGTACAGAAGCGCTTAAATGCCATTTTCTTAAAAACCGCTCCAATTTTTTCAATGAAAATTGCCATTTACGACGAAGCTTTACTGCTCTTTACTATTTTTAAAATGCCGGTAAGTGAATGTGACAAACCCCTGGCCCATTTTCTTACTTCTCAAGAAAATGGCTTCATCGTTTTTGATTAAATTTTGTTGTTGGATAGTGTGAAGGACATTTATAAGAATAGTGGTCTTATGTTGGTTGAAAACCCTGATTTTTAGAAAATTGCGAACATTCAAAATTTTTCGGAGTCTCCCTACAACTAAAATATAAAAAAACGAGATTTTACTCTTAATGAAATATGTATCTTAAAGATAGATTTTAAAATAAGGTTCTGTTCAATTTTTCGAAAATTTGAGAACTAGAAGAAAGTACGTGCTGTTTTAACATCTCTAGTTTCATTTGCAGAGGCTCATTTAGGGGGAAGAAGGTTCATTGCGATTCACCCGCTTCCTGGAGCCAATGACAAAAAAGTTTTTTTTTTTTTTTTGCGATATTCTAAAGTAATGAAAATTGTTCTCAATTGAGTAGATTTCTAAAACTATAAATCAGCAAATAAAAATAATATTTTAATTCTCTATGAATGGCAAATTCTTTATAAGAAAATGACAAGTTGGCTTCTCCTGTAGCCCCACGTCCATAAAAGTTCTCGTTCCCCCACTGATCATGTACATTATTGAAAATTATAGTAAAACCTGTCTAAGTCTAATGCTTCCGTCTTATGGGGGGTTACCAAAAAATCACTATATAACTTAGTGCAGAATTTTGGTATAGTAATGCTTGTGAAACAAAATAATGAAAACAAAGCGTAATTAATCACTAGAGATTTTAATGAAATGCCATTTTTTTCACTTAAGAACATAGCCTTTTCGTATAGATATTATTTTTTGTGATGTAAGAAAATGACCCATTTTTATATGATTTTTTATTCGCAGTTTCGTCGGTTTCGACTAATAAGTCATTTTTGACATTTCCCGTGATTTTAAAAGCATTTTTCTCTGATTTCATCGATTTAATAACAATAACGGTACTTGCTTCAAATAATATTTCATACAGTAGATCACCACAAAATTCCTGAGTAGTATATACGATTTCTTCGCTCATGTTTTCTAATGTCAGCCGTTGTAAGTAACACATCCAACAGCTGGAGTTGTTCATCTGAATTGGTTGCGAACTCGCAACGAAACAGTTGCAGTTCCAAAAACATTGCCGGAATTTTTTACATAGATCTCCGTTTAGTCAGGTAATAATCCCTTCCTTCTTCTTCTTCTTTGGTCCTATCTTCCATATACGGAAGTTAGGTGACCCATATCGGGTTTTCTTGGGATAAATTATTTAGGGTGGTTTCCCGTTGCCTTCCCCGAAATGATGATTATGATAGGGGGTGAAAGGACGAACACAATACAACCATGCTCGGGGCGGGACTCGAACCCGCGATCTTTCGGTACGAGATCGCTACGACACTACTGCCTTAGCGATCTCGGCCACCGGATCTGCAAATAATCCCTTTACCTTCTCAAAAAACTATTACGTTTCCGCGTTAGACACGTTTCCGGCTTCTAGAGATCATTTTCACGTACACAATCGTTCCGTTCTGAGATATTTGGCAAGGAAGGCAGGTTTCCGTCTTAGACAGGTTTTACAATACATTTTGCCTCTCATTAACCAAACGAAGAGCGAAAAATTAACCCTAACGTAACGCTTACCTTTCGGTACTGGAACACAGTGAAAAGCTGACTTGGGGTAACTTGGAGGTGGTCCAGAGAAAGTAATAAGTTCACCAGTTTCTGTGTTTGTGTTACGAACAAGTCTCCGATGCACACCAGTGCAGTGGGAACCGGATATGAATTGGAGACATCCGTTATCTACTGTGGCATCGTCTAGAGCCAACCAAAATCCAATTACAGTGTTTGCATTCCCATTAGGTGTATCAACGTGAAGGAATGTTGCGTCTTGATGTGGAGTTACTGTGGAAACACACAAAGTCTATTGTTGAAGAATTCTTAATTCTGAAAATTATAACCATTTATGTTTCTTGACACATGTATCAGCTTTGGATCAAAATAATATAATAGGTAATTTCCAAATTAAAAACAATTTACTTAAAAATGTCAAACATCAATATTAATTTATTTTCAAATATATTTTCGGATTTAATACTTATAGTAAAATACTTATAGTTTCAATTACTGGGAGAGGGCACAAAATTATGTTCTGCAGTTAGAATGAGCAGGGAACTTCTCAGGCAGGCGCATACACAGGGTTGGGAATGTGGAATTTTGTTTTTGTTAATGGGAAGTTTTTGTTGTTGCGGGGAAAGAATGGGGAAGTGTTAAGAGATTTCTTGGGGGAATTTACTTTCGTAGTCGAGATATAATAAGTATTATTCTCTAAATTATTATGAATAAAGAAGAAACAATAAACGTTATTCTATCTTATTTTCATGCATCAAAAAGAGAAAAATAAACGAAAGGCATAGAGAAAGAAAAACACAGAAAGATATACGCATGGAGCTAGAGCTTCGAGCAGTTAAAAGAACGAGGATTGGTTGATTTGAATTTATGGGGATAGTTAATGGAATCGTCAGTGACAGCTCATGTCGTCGGTCCATAATTTGGAGAATATTTTTCGTTTCAAAGTTGGGAAAGAGATCGCAACACCTCTGCCCAAAACCTGCTCATACAGCACAGCAAAAGAAGCACATACGCTGTAGCTGGTGGTTTGAGGAGTGGGGACACGAAAAACACCAAGGAAAATGAACTTTATCTTTTTGATGATAATTTTTAACAGAGACCTTACCTTCACTACCAATGCCTGGATTTTTGTAGATGTACATGCTCTGTACCACTGCTGGTCGTTTTAGTCCCAGTTGCCAGCAAACTTCTCTCACCTGCAACAAAAAAAGGATTTTTATAGACGTCTAACTAGAGATAGGCTTAACAGCTTTTCTTCAATAACTGTTAACGGGTATTAATTAACAGAACCATGTTCAGCATCCTAACAGGGCCGATTGTGGCCGTCTGCTGAGTTAAACCAGGCAAAACGAATATCGTTGGTAGCACCGTAAAGCTTGTGCAGCTACCGCAAGATGCTTGCATGCACTACTTCCCCAAACATTTTTGGACAGAGAAACAGCTGATATGAACGAGAGTGAATTTACTGCCAAAGAAGAATAGTAACTGATACGATGAGAAGCAAAGGTGTAAGAGGTAATATTATTAAAGTAACAGTGATTCGTGATTCGGTTTTAAATTACAAATATTCTTTCAAAGATGCAACTTGTGCATAGAGAAGTGACGAGTGCCAAAAATAACGAGGAGAAACTGTGTTTGCTCACCTACAGCTAAAGGAGTAATGACTGTTGAATATCAATTTTATAATGCTAGTTATTTAGTTGGAAATATTAGTGGATCTCACCTAAGCAGCAAATGAGACAAAAAGAAGTTAACATATTAAACGGGCTTAATTTAATGCACAAACTTCTTATTGTAGTGTAAACAAGAAAAATATTAAAATATTATGACGCAGTGTATGTAATAATGATGAATTGTTTATTAATGAATCTGTAATTCTTGCTAATCACGATCGATTAAATGCAATCAAATTGTTCTCGTACAAAATTGTTGTCGCAAAAGCATGTAGTACTTCGGGTATGGCCCACCAGCTTGCACTGCTATGCATTTCAACTGATAACAGCTAATAACAGGATAAAGGAAATAACTTATTTCGCTAACAGTTACGAAACGTTAACTGTTAAGAGCACATCCCTACCTCTAACATGCTTTTTAGTCCAAATGGAAAATATCCAAAGCTAAAATTCTAATCTCATTCCCCTGAAGTGATATTTTCCATAAATGACCAAAGAATCATTATGATACATGTTACAGGATTATAATATTATGTAACTATTACAAATAATAAAATACGTTTGAGTTCATGAAGTTGCATTGGTTTCTTTATTTGTTTTTTTTCTTTCCCGTATTCATACATATATAGGTAGTATAGGGAACGTTAAGTAATGCTGCACGAAAAAAGTGATTTTCAGCAGAAAAAATTCATTGCCGGGCCCTAAATTACGAAAAAGTGGATAAATACACTTGCTAAAGTAAAACAAAATTCCTCTAACACGCGCTGTAGCCAGAATTCCTATTTTGTGGGTCCTTCATACCGAAAAATTAATTGGCGGTAAAACGTCCCTTTGTGAACACTACTCGCGCTTAAACCATTCGTAGGACGTTTTCCAAATTGAAGAACCCCTGTCCATCTCGCTAGAGTTCAAGCTCTGAGATTTTGAAAAACGTTCTTTAACATTTGAGAGTACTTTATATGAAGCCCTCCGGACATTTCGAAATTTTTCTCAAAGACAGTTCCACATTTTTTATTTAAGTTTCTTGTGAGAATAGAATATCACACAAACAAAAGTGGCATAGGTCCGATTTTCACGGTTAACGTTGAATTTTCGAAAATTTCAAAAGTATATTTTTTCTGTCTTCCAACAACTACAATGAAGATAGAGGTTTTTCCTTCAAATTAAATTTTTGCCATAATCAGTTCATTAAGATTATATGCATTTTTTAAAAACATTTAGTAGTTTTCGCGCAATATTGCGTGGAATATTTGCATTTTTTAAAAAAAACAACATAAAAACGGCTCTAATTTTTTCTTTAAACTTTTGGTAGGGATAGTGGTACATGTACTCTGAGATGACATAATCATCGGTTTGATCTATTCTTGTTTGTTCAAAAATTACAAAAAATTGTTTTTTATCTATCGCGTCTATTTATATTACCGGAAATTTGTTTACATTATTGTATTTATGAGAACACGTGATTCAAATAATAGCATACGAAGTTTCTCGAAAACTCAACCATTTTCTATGAAAACTTGCTCAAAATTTCGCATTTCCAGAAACGTTGAAACGCATTTTTCTCAAAAACTTTTAACTTTTCGAAGGCACTGTTTAGTATGACGTAAAATTCATTTCGGGGTATTTTTGTTTTTTTCTAAAATTATACAAATTTAATTTTTGTGGTAGATCTCTCACGCCATTAATGTGCACATTTCCAGCAATTTGTAAACACTATTGTATTTGTAAGTTAATGTCCGTTAAATGACTTTTTACAAAAGGTTTTTCAAAAAACTCAAAAATTTTCTGTGAAAATGGGCTTCAAATTTCGAATTTACAGTAGTGCTTAAATGCCACTTTCATAAAAGCAGCCCTAAATGTTTCGCAGAAAATTGCTATTTAGGATGAGGTTTTACTGTTCTTTAATATTTTAAAAATAATATCCTACTATTAGGAAACCAAAAAATTGAGAAAATGTAAAAAACATGTACTTTGGCAGTTGATAGATGATAGCTAGAAAAGTATGTGGAAAGTCCGAATAGCTAGCCGAGACCAAAGAAAATAGAAAAATAATACCGAAAAGTCTGTACCATTTGTAGCCCCATCATTTCTTTTTTCAATTGGTTGACGACCCACCTGTGGGCAGCGACCTATGTCTTGGGGATTCGAGCTCTATCTGAACAAAAGATTCCTGAATCCTCATTCTACCTAATCCTGAATGGCCTTCTTTCTACTTACTCAAGGCCAATTTGCTCACATGCAGAATCTAGAGGTGCTAAAACAGCTCGTACGTACCTATTTACACGCAAAAACGCATGTAGCGTACTTACGCAAAATTACTCACAATTTCGAAAAATTGTACGTGACCTTATTTCAAAATCTATATTAAAGCACAGATTTAATTAAGGGAAAATTTCTATCTTTAATATTTTCGTTGTAGGAAGATGCCGAAAATGTTTTGAACTTTTGCAATTTTCGAAAAATGACAGTTTTAACGAACATGCACCTTTTTTTAAACGTCCTTCCAACAACAAAATTAAATCCAAGACGATGGAGCCTTTGTTTGAACATTTTGAAAATATCCCAGGGGTTTCATATAAAGTACTCCGAAAAAATATAATATTGGTTTCAAATTCACGAGGCCGGGACATGAGCCAGATCGGTGGCGGACTATCAGTTTTGGAGAAAATCGGTTGAACGGTTTAGCAGCTAGCGTTGTTCACGGAAGGACGGTCGGACGTTTTGCTGTCATTCCATTTTTCAGTATGAAGAACTGACAACACGGATTCTGGCTACCCCATTGTTAAAGGATATTTTTCTAAATTTAGGGACTGTATTTATCTACTTTTTCGTTACCGTTCGTCTCTACTTCGTAGCGAGAAAGTTAAAAAATGTAATACAAATAATGTGTTTTTTTAGTACACCTGGATGCGATTCAGCAATGTTTTATGGTCTGGCCCCCCAGTATCTAAATAAGGGGTGTCCATCTTGCCAAGCCACAAGGACCGCAACTAAAACGTTTGCCATGGATGCGGGCAAAATATTCATTACTCTGGCGATCGACACGTGACCTGTATTGTTGACCTCGGCAGATTTTCAATTTCTGAATTTACTAGCATTACTAGCCTCCTTCCACCTAAACGTAACCTCTGTTTGCATTGAGGGGCGTCGACTCCCAGGCGACGCGACCGCTAGGCGCACAGTCACTAGTCGCCTGCAAGGGATGCAACGCACTTCACTTTCGACTAATACCTCTCGCGGGCAACAAGAAATGGCCCGCAGCCCGCCAGTTGGACGACCTTGATCAGAATCCAGCCTTGGATTTATTGAATTGAATTTGCCTTATTTTACGTGGTGAGACTCGGGCCATCAGGCCCGCTCTTCCGGCTGACCAAGCAAATTTCGCTACGCTCCTTTCACCAACTAGCAGAGAAAGGAGGTATTTCTTGGGCGAGAAATTGGCGATTTGAATTTAGCTCAGAGGCGTCATTTAGGCTTGAGGGTCTTTTACATGCAAGTAAATCTACTAACATAGAACAGCCGGCTTTACTTCCCCTCCGAAGGAAGGCGTAGGAAGGATTTTTTTCGTCCTTAAAAATCCACGGCTTCAATCGGGTTTGAACCCGCCAACTTGGGTACAACGGTCCGGCAATTTTAGTAAAAGTTTTAAATGTTGCAAATGTCGAATAATTGTTTCAAAACCATCTTTATTCATCAGTAATGATAATTTGAATACTTCTGTATTCTACTAGGTTGATGTTTTCTTTTGTTATTTAAGGTCGCATCAACTTCTAGGTCATTAGCGACTACTATTGTGTGTAATGGTATGGTAACTGTGAGGATGACACGATATGACGATGATAGGGGGTGAAAGGACGAACACAATGCAACCATGCCCGAGGCGGGACTCTAACCCGCGATCCTTCGGTCCGAGATCGCTACGGCACTACTGCCTTAGCGATCCCGGCCACCGGATCGGCGTTGATGTTTTCTTGCTTTCTTACCTTGTTGCTGAATGTAGTTTTCTGAAAAGTATGGTTCAGTTGATGCAGATTATGACCAACTTTGTTTAGAGAATTCTCAGCGTCCACTTTTAAGTTTCCTTCTGGGTCTAAAGCATCCGCTTCGAAGAACACACTAACTTTGTCAGCACTGTCTAGGAAGTAGCGGTCTTTATTCTGAAAAATAAAACGAAGATATTAAGTTTAAACTAGAACACTTGGGAATTTAAGAGGTTTTTACCATTCGCCGCTCGTCTCACTCGAAGTCGCGGTGGCGATTAAAGTTCGGCTTTGGCGGAAGTTATGAGCCTGATGTCAAGACGTGTCAGAGCCTGTCTGTAAGTGTTAATGTTTTGAGATTTAATTTATCTGCGATAAGGTAGTAATGTGCGACAACAGCGCATTAGACTGTCAGTGTCGCTTATACGCTGCCGATTCTGTCGGTAGGGCAATCGGAAGAGGTAGGTATTGTGGTACACACACTAAAAAAATGGAATTTTGACAAAAAATGGGGGGCAATCCAACTTAACACATTTATTACCTCCACAAAACTGATGGAAAAAATTAATTTTAAAATCGACCCAAAACATTATTCAATATTACATTTCAATATTCAAAATTCAGATACTCCAAAATAAATTTATCCGTAAAATTCTTCACGCACCTTGGTACATTCCTAACAACCCATTGCACAACAAACTAAAAATTGATACTATTCCCACTTTAATAAATTATCACAGCCAGAAATTCTTCAACACCTTAGACGACTTAGAACAAACACATCAGTTTTAATTTGGGTCAAACATGCAGATTTCCGAAAGATAAATTTCATCCCTCCTAAACCACATACTATTTATTACTTCCCTCCCTTAGTCAACTGAAATTTCTTAAAATATCTAATTACAAGTGTTTGGTCTAATAGTATTTATATCTTAATTTCTTCTTAAATCTTTAAGATTTTGTCAAACCTTGCCTTATGTAACCTGGGAGACTCAAATCTTCAGTGATGTCAATTTCTATTGTCAAAATCCCTGAAGGGCACTCTTGTCGAACAGGCAGAAATACATTTTTTCTCTACTTCGCGCGCGATGCGCAGTTGGGACCTCGCGCAGCATGTTTATGGCGAGCTTCCTGTGTCCCATGGTACACAAAACAACCGATAATGGACCAGTTTATTGTTTGAGGGTACCGAGGAAAACGAGGGAATGACAAAACTTGACCAATGAATATTTCAGTCGAGCGCGAAAGAGGAGCAAGCTGCCTGCGCGTACGTCGTAAAATGCTAATGAAAACCCGAAAAGTTTAAAAGGGATGCAGAAAGCTGCTGCTGGCAACTGAAAAAAAGTATGGGAATACACTATTAATGTGTTTGTATAAATTATTAATTAAAACTTTTGAATAAAGGACATCTTTTATACCGTTACCATATTTTTCTTTAAGAAAACTTGAATACAACAAAAAGTACATGACCTGCACCCATGGTAGTACCCACCTGAAATTATTTGTCTTCTGAGTAAATTGTATCCTGTACGACAGGTGTATCAAGGGGGCGGGCAAGGTAACAAGCTTACTAGAACACATGAGCTCTGCAACTTGAGAAATTGGCGCTGTACAAATGCTACGGAGTGGCGGGGCATCACTGGATAGCTGGCCCATGACAGTCTTTGGGAGAAGTTACTTGGCAGTTATTGTCACAAATTTAGCTATATTAATTCCATCATTCTCTTTAAAGCAAAAAAGGATCCATTAGCGTGAAATAATATAGTAGTAAGACGATTTCAAATTCTCAAATAAGAGAAAAATTTTAAAAAAATGAATCAAGTGTCTTTATTTCGTAATCCTGTTTACTTAAGTGATCTGAAATCATGAAGATTTTTATGTTCAGGTTAGGTTTGCAGATAAATATTCTTGTCTGTTAAAAGCGCTGTCTGTCTGTAAGCGATAATTGTTAACTTATAGAGGCTTGTTTATTTATTTCACATTATTACTAAATTCAATCAATGACTGAATGATTTAATATCACAACACAAAAAGAAAACAAGGAGTGAATCCGCCATTCAAACTTATTCATGACACTCAGGAAAGATGTTTACACAAGGGAGAATTCAGTAAGAAAATAAACATCAAATAGTAATAAGTACTGAAGAACATAAACATAACACAATTCTCGGTTATTTAATAGAAGAAAAAGAAATTGGCAAAGCAACTTTCGCGTGAAGCCTCCACCGTGCGTGGCCGTGGTGAGGGGAATTTGGCTGGGGGGGGGACTGACCTGCTGGACGGAGGTGGTGCTGAAGACGGCGCGCTCCCCGGCGGGCGGCAGCTGCTGGGTGAAGGCCTGGCCCTCTGCGCGCAGCGCCGCCACCTCCTGCGGCGCCAGGAAGCCCTCCAGCACCACGAAGCCGTCGCGCGCCCACTGCACGCAAAGCACACGGCTCTACTCACCGCCTTCCACGCAACTCCAAAGCACAACCAGTTCATGATGCTAAGCTCTATTGCATGAGTAAACCCTTTTCGCTGCTGGAAATTAAAACTGACATCATCATATAATATTAAATGCAATTTTAATAGACACAACCAAACAAAACATTTACTAGAACGATTCTCAGTTATTAATTGACAGTACTTCGTTTGTCAACTTCTCTGTGATTTGCCGAGAACCTGCCGTAATGAATATGGGGCGGATTTTAATGAAATGTCTTTTTTCTTTTCACTATAGAAGAATGCCTTTTAGTATGGGTTATGACAAAAGCAGCGCCTATCAGCGCGATTGTAGGTTCGGCCGATATCGGGGATCTAAAGACAGACTTCCTGGTAAAGAACAATCCAAACCAAAAGTTTGCAAACTCAGTTCACTTGAACGAAAGGAAGAAACCTCGATGACATTAATAACAGCGAGAGTTGTTGATCTGAACTGATTTTGATTCGCCTTTTACATCATTTTTCTTGGCATTTTAAAACATTCTATTGATTATGTTTGGCGATGTTTTAGGTCATGAATATCCGCCCCTAGTAATCAGTATCATTACGCAACCGGTTGCAGCCATCGAATGATAGAATCGCACAACGGGAGTAGAAAAAACGTTTTCAGTAATTGCGCCCATCTTGAGATGCGCGGAACCGTTTGCTATTCCAAACGTTCTCCAGTGTCATTACCTTTTCTTAATTATTTTATATGTGGTAACATGGTTGAACTGAGTTTTGAACCTTGACTACATAGAACATTGATTAGAAAATGAAGATGGCAGACTATGCTTTGTACTAATATTGACGTGTTATAAATCAGATTAGTACCAGGACATTTGACTCCGGCATATTTCTTCGTATTTAAAATTCCGGTACTTTAAACATCGAAGTTTTTTCTCAATGTTCTCATCGATATCGGCAGCCTTTTGTTGAAGTGCCGTCGTTGTGCTAAGGCGTAGGTGCCGGCCCCACGGAGCGCCTGCATCACCTGCGGGCCTAAATGCGTCCGGGTGACCGAGTGGGCCGTGGCCGCCGCAGCACCCGCGCGCGCTCTATTCCTAGCGGCCGCCCACGGCCGCCCCGCGAGGCGCAGCGGAGGGCGCTGAAATCGCGACGCCACTCGCCGCCCGGCCAGGCTCCAGCGGAGATTTTCCTCTCGCGACGCTCACCGACACTTCCCGACCAAGTGCTAGCGCGCCGCGGACAAGCAGGCCGAAATTTTCCAACTACAATTATTCTACTACTCTGAGGAAATCGCATCGGGTGTATAGCTGAGACGTACGTTTTACAAAATTTTATTGATTTATTACAAAATACAGATTTTTCACAACAGAGCCAACTTTAGAACTCGTTGATTGGTTGGTCAGTAATTACGGGCGCGTCAACGTCTAAGGTCATTAGTCCCGTACGTGTAGACCATGTTATTTGATCGTGGGAGGTGGCGATCTTCGTGCTTTCCTGGGGCTAGCGACATCCCGCGCCGATCAATGTCGCATTTCGAGAATTTTTCCCTACTAGGTATCTCCCACCAGCGGGACGAGCTCTAAGTTCTGGCTGGTCGCCCGTTATGTGTAGGAGTGTAGTGCACGAAAGTGCGTGGTAAGGGGCGAGGAAATGATAAGGAAGAGGAAGGAAAGAAAGCGCGCAGTCCATGCCCCGTTTGTTGGGGTACTGCTCCGACATTCGCTGTGCTGATCGGACCAGAGCAGCCGACCGCTCGAATTCTCCTCCAGACAACTGAATTCGACTTAGATGTATAGCTTGTGTCGAAAACCCTGCCACCGCCGAATTCAAACTCTAGGACCTCCCAGTCAGAGACATTTCAGTGACATTAGTTGATGCCCTGAGCCACCACTGCTGGTTTTTAAAGTCGCGTCATGGAAAGCAGGGAAATATGTCTTCATCACTTCGGATACCGAAATAGCGCCCAATGTTGAGGCAGCGTGTTAGGCGTGATTCATGTAAAGAATTCGTGTTAAGAATGGATGTTTTATCTTTTAATTGTGGTAGGTTCTTTTCTGACAAATAATCGCTTATCCTCTACAAAAATCATCTAAATCATAACCATTTTATAACTGCACAAGAAAGTAAGCATCACTACTCTGTTTTTAAAAGCCAGAATCCTGAGATATAACACAAGAAGTGATGAAACGCGTGTCTTCGAACGAACAATCTGCGTTAGTAGAACGTGGAAAAAATAAAAGAATTTTGTCGTAAAATGTGAAGTAACTTCAGAAACACTAGCGTACCCGTGCAAGAACTCTCGCATGTTAATCCCCACCTCTTCCCCATCAATTTCCCTTTCTTTTCCATTAAGTGGGAAAATTGTTTATGAAACGTGTTTATCTGTTTAAGAAATATTGGAAGGAAGGAAGGAAACTTTGCGATTACGCAAAATCAAACAAAAATAAAAATAACACAATTGACGGTGGAAAAAATTCAGTAAAGGTTTATTCAGTAACATAAATATATGTTCTTCGAACAATTCACACGTCCTTAAAAACATTTGAATTTCCTTGACATATAGCTTTATTTCTTTCCTTGATAGTCACATAAATGTCAAGAAGGTCTTTACTCTTGAGAAAGCAAAATAAAGTTTTCCATGCGAAAGTACAGGATCGGGCAAGTACAACCCTACGCTTTGCAATGTTATTTTACTTTCCTGGATTCGTTATGAAGTTTTGGAAGGGCATGGCGCCAGCTTGCTGGGGTGCAAAACTTGACGGAAAAAAATGCGTACTAAAAAAATTGTATTATTTTCTGCGTACCTCAAGAAAAGCAATTCCGAGCCAAAAATATAATAAAAATAATATTTTCACCATTGAGTAATAAATACTATTTGTTACCATTAGAAACAAATCTGTACGCTTAAACTGCACTTCAGTACATGAGAATGTTGCTCAAACTATGTTTACGCATTGAATATATTAGCGAACCGACACCTCAAGTTGTTAATAATACGTGGTGTATTATTTACAATTTAAGTTTACAGCTGGGCATTGACGTAAAGACTTCCAGATACCGCCAACATTTAAATCGTGCGTTTGGATTGTGATCATGGGCAGTTATCGAATGTCTTTCACTATTCTTTCTGGAATTTTAAATTTAGTTGCTTTTTTAAATTAATTCACGTAGTATTGTAGGTTAGCATGTTTTAATTTTTGTTGTTCACTTATTTCAAGCTATTTTACTTTAGCTAATTTAAAAAGTTTGTTCTTTGTGTTGTGCCATAGCACACGTTTTCCACTCCCTCCTTCGAGTACCCATGAGAGAACTTTCGCATGTTAAACCACAACTGTCGTCCCTACTCTTCTATTCCCATTCTAAGACGGAAAGTTGTTAACGAAACGTATTTACTTGTTTAAAAATGTGTAAAGGTAACTTCCATTGTACAAGCACGATATCAAATAAAAAACAAACAAAAAAACAATGTAATTGATGTGCAAGAAAAATGTTCACTGAACATTTATTCAGTATAATCGAGAGATTTCTTGAAACAATTCACAACACTCCCTTAACAATATTTGAAGTAATTATTCAATTTTTTTGACAGTTAGCTATTAGCTTTTCGTGATAGTCACAAAAATATTAAAAAAGCTACGTGAACGAACACGCTGCCGTACGCTTCGCCGAATCACTGCTGATAACGAAACTCCTGGAATAGGTAAAACACAAACCCAAGAAGACATGTCTTCACTCATCCCTATACACCCACGTCCCTCCACAATTAGGTACACTGCTCTTGTAGACCTCGGCAAAACATTCAATGAATGTTTTGGCTTCATGCATAAGCAACAATCTTCATTGGTACCAACCAACTATGAATAGTATTTCTAGTTCTTGCTGAGAGACCGAATCTTGAATGAATAATTATGCAAATAAACCTCGTCAGTCTGCGTGAACCACTGTGTACACAGAAAACAAATAGTATAAATAGATGTAAGCCGTGACGTCACAAAGATGGCCACCATTACCAAGGGTTGAAACCTAGGTGACATTGATAAGTGCCGAACCAGCAAAAATTTAATAGATTGTCCAAGAATATTTCATCCTATAGATTAATGTATGAGAAACGTTTCTTTGGGACCTGTGGCCTCAAAATGTTAAGTAGTGGCCCTAAAACGGACGCTTAGGAGTTATTTGACAATAAAACGGAATGAGTGCTGCGGATTGCATTGAACATAAATATTTAGATACGGTTTTTTAAACCAACCCTTCATATTTTTAAAGTCAAACTGCTATTCGTCACGTCCCCTTAAAATTCCATTTAAGAAAGGTCTGTTGCGTGTGAGAGCCACAAATGTATGTACACGACTGAAATAATACAGGAGACGATATAGGGCGAATGCGCCCGCCGCCGAGACTGCGTTCGGGGGAGAGAGTGAGTTCCTGGGAAGTGTTTCCCTTTTAATTGCAGTGCTCGATTCTAGCCAATCATCTAAATCATAACCGTTTCATAACATCGCACGAAAGTTATCTGTATATAATTTGTTTCCTGCCAAAGAACAGTAAAAGACAGTATATGCGTATGAATCCGTGTATAGCGGGTCACTGATACCAAAAAATCGATTGACATCAAAACGTCTGTCTTTTGTGAAGTACGCCAACGACTAAATCGCTCAGCCAATTTATTCCGAAATTGATGTTCCTCATTCGATCTGTCTGATTTGTAGCCCGTTGAATTAGAAACTGAGATTTAATTTTTTTTTTTTTACATTAAGCCCTGGGACATTTTCAAAAAATGGCTCCATTGTTTTTTATTACATTTTTTGTTGGACAGGACGTTTACGAGAATACAGCAAATCTCATGTTGGTTAAAAATCCTCATTTTTGAAAATGGCAAAAATTCAAAATTTTTTCCAAGTCTTCCTACAACAGAAATATTAAACTTAAAGATTTATTTCTGTTAATGTGTTCCTTCAAGATAGATTTTAAAATAATATAATGTTC